GATATTTTTGTGTAATAGAATTAGAAACAATCACATCATACTCGGCTGAAAACCTCAATAATTATGTCTTTTGCAAAAATTGGCTTTAATTTTAATCCATCCAATCCAATCTTCGTTATTTTTCACGTTATCACAAAAGCTTTATAATATAAATTGAAATTCAAAAATAGCCATTAACCAGCAGATAATACGGACTCGTCGATGTTAAAAAATGCACGTGGTAGAGCCATACTGCAGCTATATTAATAATTTAGTTGTAGCACGAATAGATCGGCTCGACCGAGGAAGGACCACGCTCTCACAGAATACCAGCGTAAAATAGAAGTTTAATGATGCTGTGTTTCGTATGGTGAGTTTAGAGAACCGGAGACTGTACTGGTAAAGAGGCATTCTAGGTCCTCACGGCTGACAACGCATCTGCATTTTAATTTGCAAACGAAGATAGATGTAGATGTCTATGGGCCACATTAACCACTTACCATCGGGTGGACTGTGTGCTCGTTTGTCACCCTTATTCTATAAAAAAAAGAATTAGAATTAAAAGACCTGTATAAAATAAAGTACCGGAATGCAGTGAGCAAGGTTATTTAATGAAAAGGATTTGTCACAATGACAATCGCGGATCACTTTTTTTTCTCTTTACCAAAGCAGTAATAACTCGTTCTTGACGTACATACATGCAACAAAAATATTAAAACGAATAAGTACAATAAGAAGAAAATAAATAATTGCTCAAAATATTGTAACCATTACTCTTGAGTCTATTTAATGTGTCTGTAATGTATTCTCGGAATAGAATGACCAAACTGTTTGAAAAAGACACAACCATTATTACTTCTTATTGATGAAAACGGAAAACATATGAAAACTCCTACTAGGTATGCCTAAACAATAATTTTTCTTTTATCAAAACATATAAAAATAGTTTACTTTAATACATTCATATCATTCTCCATAACTTCAGAAATTTAAGATACATAGGTGAATTAATAAAAGTTTGACTTTGACTATAATTATTGTAATTTCGAATTCTAAGACCACTCAAAAAATGTCTTACTTTTACTGTCAATACATGAAATGTGATCATTCTAAATCATTAACATAGAGTTATAACGTACAGAACAAGTAGTTTCCACATGTAACTGTATTTTACTTGGAAATGAGGCACAAAAGCAATTATTGAGCGCTTAAGTGGAGGATAAAGTAAATAATATGGGTACGTAGTTCGATAAACACAATAATTATATATTTTCCTCTTGTTTTATCAATGGTATAAGACAATTAATTTTTATTGGTACTTTAATAGACTGTTAATGGATATAAAATGACGGCGAAGTAAGCCATAATTGCCTCACTGCGCTTGCGCTTATTTGGTTTCTTTCTTTACATCAAATCACAACGTAGCAAATCCTTTATACAGTTACAGTTAGAGTTAGAGAGTACAATTTACATTCTGTGATTTAAATATAATAAGGTTGTTAATAAAATACAATACAATTATTAGGTATGTTGCAATATTATTTATGCAGGATGATAAGAATGTTTAAAGTCACTTAGCGAGCTATAGAAAGGGCTATGCTTGGAGTTTCTCTGAGTCATATAATTGGAAATAAGGATATCCTCATTAGAGCTAAAATATATATGTATATAGCCCAATGGATTACTAAGCTTATGTGGCAATGAGCCATGCATATAGAACTGCCAACCAATAGGGAAGAAAGGTTTTAGAATGGCAGCCTTGTATCTACCGATGTAGGGCCACTTCTTAGTAAATAGATTACCATTTGGTTAGACATGCAGGGTGAGACGCATTCTTAGGAGATAGACTTATCTTAAGCAGTGGACCTGTGAGGGTTTATAATGATGATTATGATAACGAAGCAGGTTGAAAAAAAAATCTTATTCTTTCAATATTCTAAATACTGGTAAATATGTGCAACGCGATTAATTTGGTGATAAATTATGGAAGGCAATAAAATGTGTAGGAAAACGAAATTCAAGCTTCTATCCATTAAAAGCAAATTAATAAGTAAAAAAATATTAGTCGATTGTGATGTCGGCTTTATAATTAGTAATTTCCTCCTTAAATAAATAAGCTGGAAGCACTACGTCGGGGCACGCGACAGAAAGGTTTTAAGACTGGATGCATTGACAGGTTTCCTTAACGGGACTGTAGCTCAAACGAGAATTCAATGAGGAATAAAAAGGCTGGTTTAAAAATAAGACACATTAACATATTATTGCTTTTCTCTCTAAAATTTACATAACAACCACTTTACTTTGGCACTGCTAAATTGATCTCTAATTTTTACAGATGTTAGCTTTGCAGCACGTTTAAAACTATATATTATGATAACTTTAATCACAGTTATTTTAAACTCTCATTTTTAATGTTTTATAGTAAAATATGGAATGTATCATCCATTAACTAAATTGACGTTGGTGAATCGGTTTGGCTCACTATGGGACGTAGTGGAGCATTGGGCTTTTGTATTTTTGGTAACCCATACAACTTCAGTGGTTTGGCAGACGTAGGTATTTTACGCCCAGATTAATCTTACATCTGGCTACCTATTGTGGAAATAAAATTTCTATAACCAACTAGATGGTGTGGCGATGGGCTTACCTGTATCTTCCATTGTAGCCGATATATTCATGGAGAACTTTGAGGAGAAAGTCCTGCTCACTTCTCCCGTAAATCCAAGATTCTACAAGTGGTACGTAGATGACACTTTCACAATTCTACTATTAATAAATCGAATCAACTAAAAATTATAAAAGCAAATGCAGTATGTATATATAGGTCACATATTTATAACAGTGCATGTCCTCCATAATTACTTTTTCATCAATTCATGCAATAATCACAGCCTCATTGGTCTAGTGCTCGTAGGCCTCTCTGCTGATCATGATGGGACCGGTTTCAAATCCCTAGTTGGACAAAAAACCAGTTATTGGGCTTTTTTACGTGGTAGAGTCATGCTGCAGCTATATTAGTAGTTTAGTTGTAGCAGGAATGGGTTGGCTCGACCGGGGAAGGACCACGCTCTCACAGAATACCAGCGTAAAATAGCAGCTTAATAACACTGCTGTATTTCTTATAGTGAGAGTAGAGACCCGGAGATCTTTTTTACTGGAAAAGAGGCATTCCATTTTTGTCCTCACGGGTGACAACGCATATGCTTTTTGATTTGTAATAGAGGATAGATGTAGATGTCTATGGGCCGCAGCAACCACTTACCATCAGGTGGAGTGTGTGCTCGTTTGTCACCCGTATCCTATAAAAAAACCAGCCTGGAGTCAAGAAGTTGACAGTGTGTCATCCCTATGCCTCGGAAAGCATGCAGACATTGGTACCGGTCCTGCATTTGGTCAATTTTCCACTCGTGTTACCGTGCCATCAGCCTATGAGAGTGTGATGACATAGATAGTGTACTTGCATTTGCACACATACTCATACACTATAATTCTCTCCTGTGCAAATGACAGTTCTTCTTTGATAGTGGACGCCGTGGCCGAAATTCGGTCTGGAGTGCATTATTACATTACAGCCTACCGAATAGTCCACTGCCGAAAATATATCTCCTGTATAGATTGTCTCATAGGGAGAAGTGGCCATGGTTGCTACACTTGGCAGGCGGGTTGGCAAACGTACTGTTTTATTATTTTGAGTTGTTATCGGGAAGATGCTGCCTTCCTACATTTTTTATTTCCCACTGTCGTCTCTCACGACACCCACGCGATGATATTTTTTCTATAGGATAGGAGTGACAAATGAGCATACATTCCACCTGATGGTAAGTGGTTGCTGTAGCCCATAGACATCTACATCTATCCTCGATTACAAATCAAAATGCAGATGCGTCGTCACCCGTGAGGACTAAGATAGAATGCCTCGGTTCCAGTAAAAAAGGTCTCCGGTTTTCTACACTCACCATACGAAACACAGCAGCGTTAAGCTGCTATTTTACGCTGGTATTCTGTGAGAACGTGGTCCTTCCCCGGTCGAGCCGACCCATTCGTGCTACAACTATGCCCCTAATATAGCTGCAGCATGGCTATACCACGTCAAAAATGAATAAGATATATGGTAAAGGATCATATTACGTTACTACCGCTCGACGAATTTCTATATTTACTACTATTTACTTGATTAACCAAAACAAGAAAGCCAGCCAAAAATCCATTGTTAAACGTAGGCCTTTCAAAGAATGCAGACATACAATTTACGGAAAACTGGTGAACTAGGAATTGACAACATTCTGTTGGGATGCCAAAAAAACTATCCTAGCTACTGTTTGTGTAACAAGTGTAAGCACAGCTGTGTTCCGTTCTGGAGTTTATAGAGAGCCTGTAGAATTACATGCGGCTCCATCTTAGTCCTCAGAGGTGACATCGATTCTGTAGTTTTCTTTGTTTGAAGTCACAATCAGGTGGACTGTTAGTTTGTTTATTACTTAAGCTTAAAAAAGTCCAAATAATTCTACAATAATTCTAGATGGTCCAACCTAACCCACTGCAGTACACACTTCTCCCTCTAACTTACCGGTGGGCTGTCACAAAATTTCATATGGCATTAAATAAGTTTATACCTTTAGTAGAAAAAGTGTTGAAATAAAATAAATAAATAAAAAACATCCACAGGAAACAGAAAGAGATTGTGATATTTTTATCCACGCGGAAGTTAAAACATTTATTAATTAAGTTACACAGTCCAATTGTGAAACTTTGATTGATTGCACGCACATTTGAAGGCCATTTCACACGTTCCTAATAAACTAGGTGACCGTTTTTATTTTCACATTGAACTTGATCGATTCAAACGTCAAAGTCAGCACTGGGAAATACGACTGCATTTTTGCCTAGAGGTCCATCTATGTAGATACCGCCCTTTTACGTATATCTGCCGCCATATACGTGTTCCGTTTTGTAAGGTGTAGAAAAAGCAATATAAATAGAAACTTTTTTATTCTATATAGATTATAAATAATACTTGAAAGTATTATTAATTCACCACTGGTTTGGTAAATATCTCTGCCCTGGGAAGAAGCAGCAGGAAACCAAGCGGGACTTTCTTTTTTCACAAATACAAATAGTCTACAATAGAGTTGCCACCTTTTTTTGAATAAATATAGTATTTTTGCTAAAAAAAGGCGCAGCTTGGTAGCAATTACCTCATTCCCATAGATTATTATTATCCGTATATTCCTTAATATTATAATAATCGTTTTTATATAAACTTTGTTTAGTAAAGTTTTTGAACTTGGTTGTGGACAAATTTTGTATATTTTGTGGGATTTTGTTGTAAAAGCGTATAATACATTGTCCCAAGAATAAATTACTGACTCTACTAACTGGTACTATGTGCCTGCTCATATAAGTAATTTAAAAATATGTGCTGAATATCACATTTCTTTTTAAATTTATTATATTTTTGTATACATACATTACAATTTCATAAATGTATTGAGAGACCCAAGTTAATAATTATATTAAATTCCTTAAATTTTTGTCTGACCGAATCTTTAGGTTTTAAATCGTAAATTGCTCTTATGGACCTCTACTGTAAAACAAATATAATTTGAGTGTCAGTCGTGTATCCCCATAGAAAATACCGTACGGTATTATGCTATGGAAATAGCTAAAATAAACAAATCCAACTGTTTCAGGCTCATAAGATTTCTAATCTAAATCAAATTTCTATCTAATTTCCTGTGTATGCTATAAAAATATTTTTACAGCATGCACTGTAGAACTAAGTCTGCTGGCTAGTTAGGATATATAGAGTCACCATAGAAACATCGCATTTAGAGTGATTCCAAGAAAAGCCAGTAATAACATACTGTTATATTCGTTCCTAATCCTCAGAGGTGACAACACGTCGGACTGCAGATTTTTTAAATCTTTATTTGAAGTTAGATGCAGATGTCTGTGGGCTGCAGTAGCCATTTACTATCTGATGAACTGTAAGTTTGCCCGTCACTTCAGTCTTATAAAAACGCTCTGACTTAATCATTTACGACATAGTACCAGAGAGTGAAAAGGTCTGACATGTTATTTATTGGCACTTTGCAGGACCAACATCACTCTATACCATAAAAGTACAAATTTGTTCGTGTCACAGACTCCATATTTATCCTCACAGTACTTTAAGATTCCAAAAAACAATGCCAGCGATCCATAGAAGGTTAAATTGAATACGAAGTGCAATTTGTTGAATATTGTCATTTATAATAGGCCAGTATCGCTTGGCCTTGACTGAGAATTATTACTGTGGCTATAAACCGGGTTTAACACTGTATGTCTTTGTATAAATTTGTATGCCAGGCATTATGTAACATTTCTGCCTATAAAGTCTTTACTATATTGTAGGAAGTCAGAAAGTATTTGGCACGTATGGCAATTTACCATCCTATGTTGGTGACAAAAGAAGCAAGAGATTATAATTATTATTGTAGAAATTCGGTCATCAAGAAGTTTGTTAGGGATGACTCTGGACGATAGGGTGACTAATTGCGTGATAAGAGAAGAGTGTAGTTTGCAGGTACATTTAGTGACCAGGATTAAGAAAGTAATGTTTCGGTGATTTGGACGAAAGAGTGCTTGAAGTAAGAGTGACAATGTAAGTTTATGACGCAGAAACGCGTGGTAGAGTCAGCAAAGGATGCCCTAGACAAAGTTTATAGACCAAATTGTAGATGGGACAAATTAATTGTACCCTTAATCTACGAGCATGATTGCATTGGATGTGAAAGAAGCGAGAGAAGTGTACTAGGATCATGCCAAATGGAAAAGTGACATGATGCCACCTAGGGGTCCATGTGAATTGATAGCACTTTCTTACCAATTTCTGTCATAAATAGCCATGATAAACAAATACGTACTGTTCTGAAGGATGAAAGAGTCAGTATAATTACAAACTCTAGGGAATTTCATTTTAGTTCACAGGAGTGGCGGACCTTGTTTATTTTTCCAGTCGCCAGTCTGTATTTTAAGTCTAGAGATCTTTCTAGAATTTCCAATAGCCGTCCCTTAGTCTCCACATGCACAGGACAAAATGGGATAATGGATTATTTTACGCCGCCAACTGCCACCACAAGGCGTGATAGAGTATACCGTATTATAATGCCGTATAATATCTTTACATAAGAGTAAATTTAATTGTTAGAATAACTAAAGGTGGCCGGGTTAACTATGACATCGGGACGTCAAACACCTCAGTCCCCCCGTGACCATGGATGCTGTAAAGCACCCGAAACGTCGGGAATAAAAAAGTTAAATTAAACGCGATAAAATCCGTAAAAAATTTGTTTAATTATTTAATGTTAGAAACTGCTAACATACTACAAAATACTCGTACAAACAAACCTTGAGGAGAAAGCTGAACGAATGATTGACTACTGGTAGCATCGTCAAGCGGTACTTGGTAGAGCATTAACTTTTATTATAGAACGTGCTTCGTTTCATTTATGTGATTGCGAATTCAGTTATTGGGTTTTTCTGGAAAGAAATTTTCAGATTGCAGTTCCATCGGATCATGAAAGTGAGAGAATAGAGAGTACATCTGTGCTTGCGCACACATTTATGCAATATAATTTTAATTGGTGGTAGAATGTAAAATAAATCATTTTGTTTTTATTTGATTTCAATATATTAGTAATGTATACTTAACTATGTTCAAAATGACTCGTGGAAATAAAACTGCGACAGGTATTATTTTGAGATAATTTACGTCTAAATGCATTAAATCGATACATTTGTTACAATAGAAGAATATGACAGTGATGCATCATTTAAATGGCTAAAAACAACAGTTGCTTCTAACACAGCGATAGATGGCGTTATGTATAGAATTAGTAACGTAAAATAATAGAAAAGACTGTAGACAATGTATGTTTAAGGACATGAGGGTAATATGGTCACCTTAAGCTTTACCGCCCAATAAATCCAAAACTAGGAGAAGGACAGAGACAAAGACACAAAGTCTTTATACTATAACTAAAATATTAAGAAAAAAATAGCGAACAAGCTTTGCTAATAATTAGGAACACTTCGAAAAATCAACTTACTAACTACACTACACAATACTAAAATGGACTAAAATTGTTACTATACTCTCAACTGTCAAAATGGCGTCGATAAAGCAGGGCCCTTTTGACCCATTATTATTTGATTGACTGATACAGAGCCACCTATACAAACAAGGCTGTAGTATTTGAGTTTTAAGAAAGTGACCATATTCACCGGATGACCATATTACCCTCACGATCTATATTGTACATATACTTCAGTTTATTTTGAATTTTAGTCATTAATAAGAGATATGTAAAACATACAACATAAAATCGCCATAATAGTGTTAAGTTGCAAGGAGAAGGTTATTACGTAAGAATCTTAATGCGTGTTATTATCATGCAGGAAGAGTTCTCAGAGCCGCAATACTTCTGAAGATAGCTAGCTGCAAGAGCGTTCAACTTTGTAGTTAATAAAATTGTGCAATTTCTCTAGACTTAACTTTGTAGACGTAAGAATGTAAGGTTTAATTTAATTTAAATCCTTCTTTAATTACATATTTGACACAAAATCAATTATAATAGTGTATGTTATATGTAAGTCAATACACTTACATCGATAAATTAAACTTAAATCGTTTTTCTTCGTTATATCAGTTAACTTAATAACCCTCTAATCGATTATTATGAAACACATATAGAAAGGGACGACATTCCATAACGCCAACGAGAAGGTCGTTCCAACTACTATCCAAGTTAAGTTACAATATCAAGTAAAACGTGGAAGGTTTTAATAAATTTCATAATATTCAAGGCTTGGTAACAATAACGTAGCTACTGTATAAAAGTTAAATAAATATAAAAATATTTTAAAAGCTTTATAATACCTATCCATCAGTTTTGTAATATCCAGTTAGCTGTCTGGTTGCAGCGTATAAAGCGACTGTTAGAATAGAATACAATCATTTTATTCAATATTGGTTACATGTAGGAAATTCTTTTCAAGACATTTTTAACTTTTACCACTGGTTGGAAATAATACCAACGTCCTGGGAAAAACCAGCACGAAATCCAGCGGGACTGTTTTTTTTTTTTAAAGCATTACTTACCAATATAATATTTATACGATTGTTATGAAAACATTTAGAAACGATTGCATATGCCAAAAAGATTTTATGGCTTACGCCAGCCGTAAAATACCCAGGCTGGCGATAGGTATAACGTCAAAGGTGTACGTCAGATATCTGCGTATCGTAACTGGTACTGTAATCATAGATCCACCTACCATGCTTATGAAGATGAAGAAGAGTAGGTAATATGATACCCAAATACATAAAACACCATTACGTGCTATAAAATTCCACAGCTGAACATATTTTACTATGGGATTTTGCCATAGTAGCCACGCTTGGCAAGCTGGTTGGCAACCACAGTTTTTTTTTTTATAGGATAGGGTGACAAACGAGCACACAGTCCACCTGATGGTAAGTGGTTGCTGTGGCTCATAGATATCTACATGTATCCTCGTTTGGGAAAAAATACAGATACGTCGTCACCCGTGAGGACTAAGATGGAATGCCTCTTTTCCAGTACAAAGGGTCTCCGGTTCTCTACATTCACCATACGAAACACAGCAGTGTTAAGCTGCTATTTTACGCTGGTATTCTGTGAGAGCGTGGTCCTTCCCCGGTCGAGCCGACCCATTCGTGCTACAACTATACTACATATATAGCTGCAGCATGGCTATACCACGTACAGATTTGTACAGCACAGACACGTATTGTAAGTAGTATTCAGGATAATGCTGCTGCCCAACTCCTATTTCGTTTTCCCTCCATCGCTTCTTATGACACCCTAGGGACGATATAGGGTAGTGGATATTCTTACAACGCCACTACACGGTAATAATATTTAATCCAATATATGATAATGTGTTGTATAACTTTACTAAAGGTGAGCTTAATATACGACAAATGTAATATACACATATACATCATATATGTAGTGAGGCACGATCAAAATAATCAATTTTATGGACATTTTTTGTAGGTCATGCTCAATTTAGTGATTAGTTTATATTGAAATCAAACCTAAGTAATTGAAAATAGTGTAA